GCCCGATATGGTGCGCGGCTATTATGCTGCCAAACTGCGTCCTTGTAACATTCAAAGCTTCATAAAAGCCGAACAACGTCGCAATTCTTGGCCGTAGTCAGTACTTGTATCTACGCATTTTGTGATCGTAGTGAGCAGAAACTCACGCCACTGTATTGCAGATAACCTGAGCCAATGTCTCAATATTGACGACCCATGGGTTACAACAAACTGGATACTCACATGTGCTAAGACAAGCAAAGTCGTATAGGCACGCATTCGATTGTCCAGTTTCCTCAAGAGCGCCGCCTCTACTTCTTCCTCGTCTTCCCATCCATCTTCATTGACGTCAACTCTGGGTAAGAGTGGTACTTCATCGATGTGTGGATGTGTGGCAGACATTGCGACAGTGCAGGGGGATACCGATGTGACCCAAGCTACTACTTATCACTGCGCATACAGGGTCGAGCTCTGGATCAAGGACATCACGAGACTCGGCGCCTCGAGATAAATAACAGATGTTGCCGGCTGCTGTACTCACGGGAACCCTGCATCGCTGTCGCGTACGCAGCAAGACGAATAAAGTTAAGCGCGCTATGATAGCACAGTGCCTTGATACATAGGCACTGATATCACTGGGCACATAGCAATTAGCTAATAATAGTGATACTGATAAAGGTATACGTGGGCTGGTCGTGCTTAGACCGCAGAGCTGAAAGCAGGTGATCGGCCTGGAGGCCGCCTGGGCACCCGGAGAGTGCTCACTGTCACGTCACGGTGGACTCGAATCCTCTCGGATATTCCGCTGTTGTAATATCGCGCGCGTTGAGTCGCAGGACAGAAGTACCTGTGATTGGGACCTGACTTGATGGCTCTAATGTGTACCGCAATGGTTTCACAGCAAGTTAAGCAGTCCCGGTGCGCCACCGGAACCAAGTACGACACGCCGGCATTCGCCGATGCCACCCAGTACTGTATGCTCAGTACTTTGACATCGACTCAGAGACTATCATGCCAGCCACACGTTCATCTACTTTAAAAAGCCCATCTTCTTCACTGAAACAATCTCGACTCTCCTTTGCTTCTGCCAGACGCACGTCCTCAAACGCGGCAGCCAAGAAGCCTACGGCATCTCGCACAACTTCCACCTCTTCGATCCAGAAACCCATTGAAGAGTCGGATGACGAGTCCTCTGAGAGCGATGTGGAAGAGTTGGTGAGGTTACCGGTGCCGAAGAGGAAGAGGACCGGGGTAGTGGAGGATGTGGCTCGTATGAAGATTGTGGAGTCTCAGTCGGCGGACGGGGAGGTCATGGATTTGCAGGACAGGAAGGGGAGGTGGAGGAAACATTATGGCTTCGTCAGGGAGAAGATGGGGAACTTGGCACCTAGTAAGTTCACCCACCTTGAATTGCTTGCATCGTTTCCCCTCGGATATTGTGTCTCGAGCTTGGCGAGCCGCATATATGCGGAACCTGCTCCTATAATAATACTCGTCCCACATTGTATTAGCAACACACATGCGCTTTGCGTCCTGTATGTGCGTTGCAGACATGTATCTTGTCCTCCTTACGGTATCCGCCAGCCGCACTCAGTACTTACCATACCTCGCAGTCCATGCTGAAGGCCAAACCAAAATACATCATATTCTTCGTGTCTTCGACTTGTACGTCCCTCCTGTCCCCATTGTACATTGCTCTGATTGTTGCTTGTCCGTTCCGATGCAGGTCCTATGAGTATGGTCCCTGCATCGGCGTGACCCGTCTGGAGCGCTGGGAGCGTGCGGAGGCGTTAGGGCTAAAGCCACCACCGGAAGTATGTTCTCTTGTTCCCTCTTTATCACCGGATCGAGCTGAGCCGATCGCCCCTCTGCAGGTCCGGGAAATCTTGTTCACGAAGCAAGGTCAGGAAGAGGACCAGTTCCGGGAGACAGTGTTCTACGGCGAGGCATAGCTTTGCCAGCCACTATGCTCGTTCTGAGTTGCTTTGCTCGCTACCTTAGCTAGGTATCGTTGTGTCCAAAGTATCATCATCGTCATGTAATTGTTCACCCCAGTTTAGTGTAGTATTAATGGAAATGTACAGGTTCATACTCCACGCAGCTTTTTAGAGTGCTCCGTTTGCTAGGCGTTCTACGAGATCGGTGCCCTCTGGCCATCTGGCGTCGGACTCTTAAAAATGTCGGCGTTAGATGTACGCGGTTCCTGCTCGCGAGGACCAGTTAGGATGGATTGGAGTACTGTTTTTTTGTCTGCAACTTCAAAGGGCAATTCGGATAGTACCCTCCATCCTGGTATTTTCTTACCCTAAGCTGTTAGCATGGCGTGCTGATTTAATCACTGTCTTCCACTTTGCAGAATTCATCCTAGTTCCCCGGCACCGAGAAGCTTTGTGAATCTCTATTATCCAGATCGATACCATCCTAGGGTACATTTGATTCGTAGGTGGGAATGTATATATGTCAGGTCTGTCCGGATCCTTTAGCCGAAACCATCGAGGTGCATGACCTGACCCCTCGTGTCTAGTCTAGCGCATAGCTTCCACGATCATTATCAGTGTGCCTCACTGTTCCGTCCTACGTCACGGGCGTCTATCTGCGTGTTGATATTGATGAACGATAACGAGCAGCGCTTTGTTCGCGGTGCCCTGGTTTCTCTGGGAATACGCAGTGATAAAGAGCGGTAGTCACCTCAAGCCCGCTCCTCTCTCTTGTCCTTAAACACAATACAGCACCAGTCGTTATGGCCGGACCTTCAGTTAGTGGAGAACAGGTAGGCGTGAATGTGCCCCTTTTACCGCGAGGTGACCAGCATGAAGACGGATGGGAGGATGAGATAGAGGTGGAGGCGAAACTAGTAAAGACGCTCAAAGAGCGCATGCGTCCTTTTGGTATCCTGTATCTTTTGGCTCGCGTAAGTGTTAGTTCTATGACAATCCCGTAGAAAATGGTTTGTTGACGCTATGTCCAGGTTATCCAAAACACCATTCCGTGAGTTGTGTTCAATCTGGCCACGTCAAATAAACATCATCCAAAGATGTCCAGGATCGCCGCACTGTTCGGTTTCCGTGAAGCGCTGGCTTTGAGCCCAATGCAGTTCAGTACGGTGGTGGCAGCCTACATTATCGGGAAGATCCCGGCAATATTGGTATCTGAGTATGTGAGACAGTCACAGATAGGTCATTCAGTGATATCATGTACCTTCCTGTAGAGTGTTCGGGCGACAACTCGAGCGATGGCCTACTATTGGACCGGCTGCTGCCGTGGCGCTTGGGTTTATTACTATCTTAACCGGTGCGTCCACGCTGTCCCAAGTCGTCGGCATTATGCATGTCTGACTCGCAAGGCAGGATTTACCACTAAGTGTGTATCACCACATACAATTATACACCACTGCATTTCTCAAACGTTTTGTGAAGTTTTGCCCAGATCTTCTTGGTGCGATGTGCATCGGGCTTTCTCGCCTCAACCATGATCATGTGCAATAACAGAACGCATCAGACCTGGCACAAACCAAAGGGTGGATTGCCTCAGCCAGCGTTGTACAGCATCCCATTGATCGTTATTATTGGATTGGTCGAGGCTGCTGCTGTGTTGTATCAGCCTTTCGTAGGACAGGGACCGGCACAGTGGAAGTAAGTCTACACTGCATTCTTATCTGTGCTTCAAGACCTGATACATTCTTGGGATCGACTGAAAGATTCATGTTCTATTTGCTTGGGATACAGATGCTGGCCGTCGCACTATACGCATGGTATCGAGCGCCTGGTTGCCCGGACACAGCAACGTGGCCATCATACTCGGAGAGACAACTTGTCTCGAAATGGAAATCCGAACGTGACCAACGAGCGCAGCGACGTCAACCCATTGAACCCCATCCAGCAGAGGGGGACGACAATGCTGTGCGATGGTACTCACCGATACTTCCCTACGTGAAGATCCTGTACATCGCGGTCTGTCAGATGTTTTTTTGGACGGCAAAGTCGGTGGAATGGTTTTGGCCTTTGATATTCGTTGGCTACTTGGACATCGAGAACCCTGGCCCTCAGACACTGCTTCAGTGCAGTGCTCCGTGGATTTTACCTGGTTGCATAATGATGTTATACCGCTGGTAGGTAGTCGACTGGCCGGTGTTTCACTGTACTTACAACGGCTTTCAGGTACTGGGGGAAACTTATGCACAAACCAGCTGGTTTGTTCTTCATACTCATGGATTTGACCGGGCGTCTTTGCTTCCTTGTTGCAGTGGTGGGCTGGGGCCTAGTTGTTTGGGCTCACCGTGGGTTACAATCACTTCCCTTGTACGTATACGAGAAATAATATTGAGGATATCCTTGTTAACATGTCCTGCAGGTTCATGGTAACACTCGTGTATGTTGGGGACATACCTTATGACCAAGCATTTCGGATCGGGATCAGTGGCATATTGAAGTCTGCAATTCCATGGAAACAGGCATCTGCCATACGTTTCTTGGGTTTTTGCTGCATTGCAGGTGAAATTCTAGGATGGTGAGTTATATGATGGCCTTGGTGTCACGGCTTCACCTCACCTCGGTTTGATTGCTAGCTATGGCTGGAATGCGAGAGGTGACTCCTTCGGCCAAGGTCTCGCGAACATATATCTCAGTTCCGTAGCATCGGGATTGGGGGTCTTCTCACTTTGTTCTAAAGAGCTGGCCTATGCGCTGAAACGACCAGGAGAAAGGCGAGAATCGCAGGGACAGGAAAGTGACATGGAAATGGTGCAAGGCAGTTCCAATGTTTGAGTGTAACCAGCACGAGCAGGCCCTCGAAGGTGCTCCGCCAGAAAGTGACAAACTATATATGAAGACATAGAGGTTATGTCATGGCATAGACTTGGTAGCCTCCCGAAATTTTCGCAGCATGTGCGTATTTACAACTATCACATACTTAATATTGTTGAGATTGGCTTCCACTGTTTCGATGTTGGTATTCGTCTGTCGGCAGATGTTCATGACTCTGCTACTTTTTGACAGGATGTAGAATATGATGGGAAACTGTACGGCCGACTAGCTCAGTTGGTTAGAGCGTGGTGCTAATATCAAATACTTTGTGTTACGCCAAGGTCGTCGGTTCGACCCCGGCGTTGGCCATTTGTCCTCAAAAGGCCTATTTTGATAAGTTCTCTGTCGAACTTCGAGCGAAATGATATGGTCGGTTCGATAGTAATGCATTTCAGTGGATATACTGGATTCCCGTGATCGTCATTTTCTTAAATTAATGACGCCGTCACACTCCGCGTGATTCATTGGCCACATCTGGAGTGGTATTTCTCCTTTATGTCCGTCCCGTCTTAGACCGGGTGAACAAATGAACTTGTTAGTTTATGGGCACTGTAGCAGCTACACAGCGCGCGCGACATGTCGGGAATTACCATATCCGGAGAATGCGCATGTTTGACCCGGCGGCGGTTCTCGCCGGGACGACGCGTCGCCAGAAGTGTCTGGAACAGCGTGCACTGGACTTATTATATGTCAAGAATACGTGTGGACGTTTACTGCGCTTTTCCTTGAGCTCCTCATTGCTTCTGCTCTACCACGGTTTGACTACTACCAAGAATGCGGCGTGCAATACTTCTTAGTGAATTCACGAGAGCGCCTTTGAGCTGGATTGGACTGCTCAAGGGAACAACGAATGCTATACGACCAGCGAGCGCGTCTTTGTTACTGGCCAGTCGAGTTCCACGAGTATTAGTGAGGGCGTATGCTCAAAATCCGCCCGGCAGCGGTATGGGGAAGGGAGGAGGGTTCCCGGGTTTTACGATGCAGCCTCAACATCAGAAGGGAGATGCTCTGAAAGAATACGTGAGTATATGCCTCTACTGTTTTGTTACCGAAATCTTGTTCTGTCCTGACTGTTGCGACAGAGCGTGGACTTGACGGAAATGGCAAGGCAAGGGAAATTGGATCCGACGATTGGACGAGACGAAGGTGGGTGACTTTTCATCACTCTCGATATTCCCTGCAGTTCCCAAGACGTTCCTCGACAGCACTGAAGGGACGACGGCAGTTGGCAGCCAAGGATAGTTACTCTTCTCGAAGCCATTGGGAACTAGCAGGGGAATATCGAGAGATGCTTGTTGAACGAGCCTAAGCTGAATGATGTAATGGCTAGAGATCCGACGGACAATTCAGAGTCAGTGACTACCATTCAGTGGAAGAGGCATGAATTTGACAGCGCTATATACAAGTTCTATCTCGGAGGACCAAATCTAACCCGGTGGTAAGCCTCCCAGAGTTGTACAAACGTCTCGTCATAAGATAGCCGTAACTAACAATACAACGCTCAGCTGATTGGACCTCCTGGTGTCGGAAAGACCGCGATCCTAGAAGGTCTAGCTAGCCGGATAGTAGCCAAGGAAGTTCCGGAGGTACGCCCGTAACACCCGCTTGCTATCGGAAAGCACAGGATATATAACTTTGTTTTTTGACCGTGGTTTATTAGTCTCTACAAAACAAGCGAGTTCTCTCGATCGACTTGTCCGCCATCATGGCTGGATCCGGTATTCGTGGTCAGTTCGAAGAGAAATTTAAAGCCTTGATTCGCGACATCGAAGAGGAGGTATGAGCATCTGTCATCTCGACTTTGCAAAGCTATGTCTGATATTTGCACACAATTTGCAGAGTCGCAGTGTTATCTGCTTCATCGATGAAGTCCGTCAGTATCGGATTCATCACCGAAAATTATCTTATGAAAGTACTGATTTCATATATATGTTTTGTAGACACCCTCTTCAACCTTGGCAAAGCGGAAGGTAGCATTGATGCAGGCCAGATGATCAAGCCTGCCCTAGCGCGGGGGCTGCAGTTAGTCGGCGCTACTACTCGTGCGTCTCCTGTCGGTTCTATCGTGTGCATTGACTGATGGTCTGGAATAGCGGATGAATATCGCAAGACCATCGAGAAGGATGCTGCGTTGGAGCGACGGTTCCAACCAGTACTAATCGACGAGCCTACTGTAGAGTCGACTATCTCGATCTTGCGTGGACTGAAGCCTCGGTATGAGGTGCATCACGGTGTTGAGATCTCTGATGCTGCTCTTGTCACTGGTATGTAGGGTCTTCGTCTCAATCCCGCTTAGCGCTCACGTTCGTCATTCACCAGCTGCCGTGTACAGTGCTCGATACGTTTCCGACCGTTTTTTACCAGATAAAGCTATTGATCTGGTCGATGAAGCTGCTTCTGCGCTTCGGCTCGCTCAGGAGTCGAAACCAGACGAGCTTGAGAAGCTGGACCGGGAGATCGTCACCCTGCAGATCGAATTGGAGAGTCTGAAGAACGAGTCCGATACCTTCAGCTTGGAACGCCGGGCCGAGGTCGAGGAGGCGTTGAGGAAGAAGAAAGAGGAGTCGGAGCAGTTGACGTCAATGTGGCAAGCAGGTATGTGCTTTGCTAGTCTCAAACAAGTTCTACGTACTGATTGAAACCGTGCAGAGCGTTCTCGGTTGGATAGGATCAAGGATCTCAAGGAGCGCCTCGAGGAAGCCAAGTACGAGCTCGAAGTTGCTCAGCGGCAGGGCGAGTACGAAAAGGCCAGTCGGTTGCGCTTCGGTACCATACCTGAGTTGGAGAGGCAGCTACCCAAGGATGATGAGATGGCGGATGATGCGCATGAATCTCCTCTCGCTATGTTACATGATAGGGTCACTTCTAATGATATCGCGAGAGTCGTTGCGAAGGCCACGGGTATTCCTGTGCAGAACTTATTGAAGGGAGAGAGAGACAAACTGATCCATGTGAGTGTGTTCATTGCGTTGCCCTGACTTGCCCTTATCGGCAACTTCATAGATGGAAGATGTACTGCGCCAGAGGGTTGTCGGTCAAGATCATGTTGTGTCTGCTGTTAGCGACGCTGTGAGACTGTCGCGTGCTGGTCTTCAACCACCGAATCGGCCTGTGGCGTCGTTCCTGTTCTTGGGTCCTACCGGTGTTGGCAAGGTATGCCTCGATTTCTTCGCTGAAGCACATGGGCGAATTGTTCAAGTTCCTCATAGACGGAACTATGCAAGGCCCTCGCTGCCTTCCTGTTTAACGACGAGCAACGTGGATTGATTAACATCAACATGTCAGAGGTGAGTAGTTCACGGTTATTGCAGAGGCTTTCCCTTATGTTTGTCAACAGTACCATGACCGTCATACGATGTCTCGACTCATTGGAGCTGCCCCCGGATATGTTGGATTCGAGGACGGCGGTATGGAAAATCCATGTTTCCCGGCTTCATGTGTTGATAGGCCTCATTCCACCTTCTAGGACAGCTGACTGAGGCCGTCCGTCGTAAACCGTACGGTAAGTGAAACCCGAGTTCAGATGTTTAGCTCCTGTCTGACCTTTATTATAGCAGTCATTCTACTCGACGAGCTCGAAAAGGCGCACAAGGTAAGTATGTATAGCACATGGGCTGCTGTCCCTTACTCATCTTCCATCAGGATGTTGCTATGATCTTACTGCAGATCTTGGATGAAGGAAGTATCACAGACAGTCAAGGACGGAAGGTTGACTTCAAGGTATGATGCCTATCCCTTGCGACATAACCAATGGGCTGAGCCGTGCCTCAGAACACTATAATATGTTTGACGAGCAATCTTGGTACGTAGCTGGACTAGAAGCACCCCAGCCAAGTGACTCACTTTTGTCTAGGAAGTGACATCCTTGCCCATCCTTCCGCGTCGGATAGCAATGGCATTGTTACGCAGCAGGCGAGAGATGAGGTCCTCGAGCGCACGTCGGAGTACTTCCCTCCTGAGCTTTTGAACCGTTTGGACTCTATGGTTGTGTTCAACAAGCTGTCAAGACAATCTATTCTCGAAGTCGTGTCACTACGCCTCAGGGATGTCGCCGACAGACTCAAGAATCGGCGGATCACTCTGGATGTCGATGACCAGGCTCGTGAATGGCTAGCCAAGCAGGGCTACAGTGATGTGTATGGCGCAAGAGCGATCGGTCGCGTCGTCCGGACGAAGGTACTCTTCCCACTGGCGCAGAAGATGCTGAATGGCACGATTAGGTTCGTAATCTCTTCCAATCAGTCCACTGCTGTGTCTCACGTCCTAATGCAGGGATGGTGATGTGGCGACTATTAGAGTCAACGACGACGGTTCATCTCTGCACATCAAAGATAATCATGAGCCCGATGCGGCTTTAGGGTCTTCAGCTCCTGTATCTGTGGTAACAGACAATTGATACTCATACTGCATAGGACGTATACGGTGTACATAGTAGCTTATCCCTAATCTAACGATCCCAACTCTGTAGCATTACGTGTACTGCATAACATGCATATAATGTAGATTATCTCTATCCCTGCAACTATGATGGCGGCGAATTGTTTGTTGACGCTGCCTTCGAACCTGCCCGACTACCCCGCGGACGTCGCTCCTTGCGTGGTATACCTTCTACGGCACCATCAACATCATCAGTCTGGTCAGTACCCCTGGCTTTCGGAAGTTTACTTTCATGCTCGGACCCTTTAGTCTTCGGTTTGGGCTTTCTTGGTGACCTTGGCTTCTTGCGATCAGGCGTCGATGGTCCGCCTTCCATCCCTAATCTCACACGCTCCTCTTCAGCTGCCCACCACTTCAAGAAGTCCTCCTCCTGTTGTCGAGCTTGCTCCTCTTCTTGAATATCACGTAAGGTCTGCTTTGCCTTGCTCGAGCCTGCGGTTTGATCCATTTGCATCTGTTGGATAGCAGCAAATGATAAAGTAGATGCAGTGGGTATTGCGTCGACAGCAGGGTGCACAGGAGGTGATGACCATGCTGTCCCGCTGCTGGACCAGTGTCAGTAATAGAAACTCCGTATACAACGTCGATGCTTACGAGACACGCCGTGACGAGGACGCCCCGACCTTCGGCGGAGGTAAACGCGAGGGCGAATACACAGGGCCCAATGTAGACTGAGGTGCCTGAGGACTAGGCTGCACTGGCGGAGGACGAGAGGCTGGTGCACGAGGATTAGCGCTCTTTGTGACACTAAGGCCTGATGGGGAAGTGGAAGGCGAGGTGATAAGCGTTGCAGTCGAAGTAGCAACAGGTTTCCACGGCGAGACCGAGGATGTGCGGGTAGGTGTCTTCGGAGTAGGGACTCGATCAATGCT